TTTGTTTTCATTCAAAGGCTTTATGGTTTTTCCTATAATACCTGGTGGGCCGGTCTCTAGTCAAAATGCCCGGGCTGATTTTTTGTCCCAGCCCAGCCCTGATTCCAGTAACTACCATTTTTCTGAACACAGCCATACATGTTCTTCTGCTTCAAGGTTCAATGTTTTAGGCAGCCAAAAAGAGATGAGAGCCCCCTGACCTCTTTCCACTGTCAAATAGCAAGTAAGATACTTGATAATTAGCGTTAACATGGTTGATTGTAATAAGCAGTTATTAGATTACTGTTTCTTCTCTATCAGCTTTTAGTGCCATTCTGATGCTCTACTCTACAGCCCATCTTTACCATGTCTACATCCCTAAATGTAAGGAGTTCCTGCCATGTGATTAGTAGATTAGACACTTGCATTAACAGTTGAATATGCGCACCTATTAAAGAATCTAGTCGGTGTAGGTTTAATATAATGCATACCACCATATCCAGTTGGCTGCTTTAGAAGTGATACTCCACTCAGAATATGAAACAGGACCAGGCGCATATAAAGAAACATTTATGAATTACTGACTCATAGAAGGCAATAGGTTTACATTTGATCAATTTTATTTTCACTTGGTCTCATCTTTTTAAAGTACATCTGACAACTTTGAGAGCTGAAGTCCGATCCTTCACTTCCATTTCCACCAGTTCATCACCAACAAAAATGCAACTAAGCGTATGGTTGTGATCATAAAAGCAATCAAGCAAAAAAAACAAAAACACAACCTTCCCAGAACAAAACTACAACAAAAAGGTCAGGTCATTTGACTAGGTGGAGCATAACCCACCTCCACAGAATCATTTCAGTTCTCATTCTTCTTTAAGTGCATTTAAGGAAAATCTCTTGAACAATGCAGGAAAACTAAAAAATTAAAACAATGAAAGCACATCAACAGAATGAGCCACAAATTGTCAGTGGTTCAGTCCCCTGAAGTGATTCCCATTGCCAACTTTGTTCTAAACAACAGCTGCAAATCCCCTCACTGAGCAGCAGGTAAGTAACCAGAT